CATTCCCGCACCGTCTTCACCTTTTGTTTGTCCACTGACATTTCTTTGGGCTAAGCTTCAGGCCGGAACTTCTTAAGCGCTGCAAAACTTCCTTTAGGTTCTTCATATGGTCCTCAAATGATTTCCCAACCACAATAATGTCGTTAAGGTACACCAAGCAAGTCTTCCAGGATAGTCCCTTCAAAACCATTTTCATAAGCCTTTTTCAAAAGTTGCAGGGGCATTACATAGTCCAAACGGCATGACAGTAAACTACCACAGTCCAGCACCCACAGTAAACGCCGTCTTTTCTCTATCTTCTGGTACCATTTCAACCTGCCAGTAACCGCTTTTCAAATCCAAAGTCGAAAATATCCGTGATCCAGCCAATGTATCCAGGGTGGCTGGCAGAGGGTAGCTGTCCTTCTTCGTCACGTTGTTCAGCTGACGAAAATCGACGCAAAATCGAGTTGATCCATCCTTTTTCTTAACTAACACCACTGGGGAAGACCATGGGCTGTTGGATGGTTCGATCACCCCTTCCTTCTCCATTTCTTGCATAATTTTATCAGCTTTCTCTCCCTTGGCAAGTGGCAGCCTTCTTGCCGAATAGGCTGTGCATCACCAGTGTTAATTTTATGCCGTACAGTTCTTGTCCTTCCCTTCTTTCCTTGTCCATTATCAAAGACGTCCTGATAGTTGTGTATCAGCTTTCTCAGCTTTATTCACTCATTTGGTCATTTGAAGAAGTCGAAAGCAGAGTCGTCAATTCATTGCTAATTGTCTTGGCCGGAACTCCAGACTCACGAATGCCTCTAATAATTAAAGAAACAGAAGAACAGTTCCCCAAAACGATTCCTTTCTTCAAGTTCACAGAGTAACTATTAACATTCAATACTCTTACAGGCACTTCTTTTCCGACACGTATTAAAGTCTTCCCTACTACAACTCCTCGACCGACCTCTTTGTCATCAAATCTCGGCTTCAGAAGCATTATACTTCCATCTTCTGATGTACAATTCAAGAAAGCCTTCAATATCATCTCGCTGTGTTTCGGTATCAAAGCATATTCTATTAGCATTACACGAATATTCTTCTCTTTTGATCGATGCAACACGACTTCCTCTCCTTTTACACTCAATATTCCTTGTTGAAAGTTTAGTTCTATAGAGTTCATAATGTCCATGCCTACAATAACTTCATCTTCAATATCTGCTACTAATGCTCGATGTTTAAATTTCGTGTTTCCTTTTATCATCGTGATGTCCACTTCTCCACAAACAGTAGCAGTATCTCCTGTTGCAGTACGTAGTCGCCGATTGGTAGATTTGACCTTGGACATTTCGACAATATCTGGCCTAATAATTGTCTTCGTCGCATCTGTATCCAGCAGCAGCACATGTAATTTTCCATTAATAAAACTATCCACAAAAACATTGCTGGACTGGTGTAGAAGAGATGCGATATCTTCTAGGTCATGCTGGTTACAGGTCGACGGTGGCTCCTTTTCCTCGACGCTATCTAGTTTTCCGACAGAGACGAAGTCGGCCCAACCTGGCTTTCTCTGCAACGACTTCGTATATGTCCTAGCTTTTCACATCTACAACACCGGATTTCCTTCTTCTTTGGTAGATTTTCTTTAAAAACTCGCCTGATTGCTTCAATTATACTGGGTTCCTCCTCTTTCTCTTCCTCGACTCTCCTTATTCTAGGCTGGCTCCTGCAGCTCTGCTTTGCCGCCTCGAATTCCAAAGCTCGAGCTAATGTATCTAGCTAGACCAAGCGTGCAATATCAGCCTCGAATTCTTGCAAAGTCTCGTTTGATTTCTGGCAGCGGTTCTTAAGTTGGGAATGGTAGACATGTGTCTGGCCATATCGCAGTTCCAGATGTTTCACCAACGCTTCGTAATCTTCTTTTTCGTTGGGAGAAAGTGTCTACAAGATGTCGGTTGTGTCTCCGCGTAAAGCAAGAGTCAATGCTGTAGCCTTCTCTTCTGGTAGCCAGCCATTTGCTTTTGCTGCTGCCTCAAACTGACGGATGTAGTTGGTCCAAGAAGTTTTTCCATCGAACTGAGGTGGTTTCATCCGGAGTCGGCTCCCCTCCTGCACTGTTCCTGGTTCCGCCAGCATCATGGGTGGATTTACAGCTTTCAATTTACTATTTATTTCTCTAATTTTGACTTCCAATTTCTCGTTAAATTTTTCTTCTCTTGTATCTAATTCCCTCATTACGTTATTCAATTCCATCTTTACGTCCTCTTTTAATTACATCCTTACGTCGTCAAATTTCTGCCCCATTTTCTCTTCTAATTCATTGACATTATCTAGAATCTTCTGTTCTAAATATTCTTTTAAATTTTTAGAATTTTCCAGAATTTTCTGCTGTAATTCGTTAGAATTTTCCAGCATTTTCTGTTGCAAATCATCCATTAAATCGTTGACATTTTCCAGAATCTTTTGTTGTAAATCTACTTTCACGAGACGAATCGCTGGAATTTTCCAGCATTTTTTGTTGTAACTCGTTAGAATTTTCTAGAATGTTCAAATAAATACGTATCTGGATTTTCACCCTCTTGTTCCAACGCTTCTCGAAGCCGCAGCTGCAACACATTCTTTTTTCCAGTTGTTTCACATTCCCTTTCTTCCAGCTCGCGCTTAAGGTCCGCCACTTTTAAGTCCATTAACGAAACCATTTTTACGAAGATTCACACTAACCGCACTCCTGACACCAATTGTAACGTTTTTACTGTTCGTAGTGTAAATTAAAACACGCACTGGTTTATTAACGAACTTAACGATTTATTTTAAAACTTAACTACACTTAAAACACTAAGAACTATAAAACTAACTAAACACAATTATTTATATATCACTATTGTTCACTATTTATTTGCACGTATATTTATTTATTTCGTCGCGAGTACCAAAACTTGACTAACTGCTCCATGCTGCGCTATTCCTTATATATTCAGTGCCTACGAGACACTAGTCACGCAAGCGTCTTCTCGAACATTCCAGCGAGCTGACTCACCGGCGATGACTCATGGGCGATGAGTCATCATTCCGGCATCCAGAGTGGTACTCGCTACAATATATTTTTTTGTTTACTATTTTAACATGCAGTTGTCGGCGTTTTTATAAAGCACTCAAATATAATTATTAAGGTTATGTTTGTACAACCATTATTTTTTGTTAGATTTTTTAAAAATGTCCAAACTTAAATATAAATTATATTAGGGAGAGTTATCATTAGTTCATTCTTCACCAACAAATATATGTACAGAATTGTATCCTTTTGCAAAACATGAAACGCAACGATTCAGATCTTGAATTACATTTACAATTAAAAACACAAATATCACCATGATCACTTAGATAAAATACATACACGTAACGTAACGCGTTGCGTTTATAATCAATAATATTAGGAATAATAAATCGAAATCGAGTATTAAACAAAAGTTTTGCAGTTTTTACTTGCAATGCGAAACACAAACTTGGGCGATTAAGCTGTGCAATTTAAACTTAGCGAACAAAATTTGTCGAGTAAGACTTCTATCTTCCTCTCTTTTGTGAAAAAACTATTATTAAACTATTATTAAAAAATAATATAAAGTTCTTATGCTTTAAATGTATTGTTGAAAAACCTTGTAGTTGCGTGACGATACGTCTAGTATTTACTATACCAAAGAATGCTATTTAAGGCTCGTCATCAATACTCCTCAGTTAGTTTAGTATCGTTTTTCAATTTAGACGGGTGTGATTTATCATTATCAGAGAAGTGATCGAATATTTGAAATAAAGTTTGACCCAACCCAACCACTACCTTGTAAGAAACCATCTGAAAACTTCTTTATTTATTTAAATCATCCTGATTTCAGTGAAATATACCAAAGAATACTATCACTTTTTATCCCATATATATTTTGTGATACAGTAGATTTTTATAAGATTTTCTAAAGATGCCTACAGCTTTTTTACTATCAGAAACTTATCTCAAAAAATTACGCAAAGAAATTTTACACAGAATGGATGGAGAAATATGACCTAAAAACATTAAAACGAGGGTAGAACTGTGAAAAACAAAAAAAAAATAATGAAAATCTATAGTTTTAAGATATTCTCGTTAAAGAAGTGCAGTATATTCATAATTTTTAGCATTACCACCAACCAGCGTCACCATTGAAAGATCATTTACTAAATTATTATTATTATTATTATTATTATTATTATTAAATGACATTTAGCACATTGCGACGTGTTAAAACATGGTTGCCATTAATAATATGGGAAGATGGATTTGTTTGGGTTATGCTTCTCAATGCAAAACGTACTTAATAATAATACTGTATTATAAAGAATGTTATATGTATAGATAGATTTTATTTATTATTATTTATTTATTAAATTACTTTTTGTATTTTTTGTTTTCAATTTTTATAAGTACGTTTTTTGTATTTTTACTTTACCTATATTTTATTCTGGCGGCCACCCTGATAGAATCCCGCAAATTTGGTGTGCTTTTTTAGTCCGAAACGATTCATGGAAACAAATTACTATGGTTATTTTTTCCCGAATATTTTTACAGATTGACTACCATAATTGTATACATGTACTAGTTTTTGTTTAAAATAAAATTCTAACTATTACCCAATAAAAAGAACCAAACAGATAATTATGAATCAAACAAGTACATTTAATAAAATATACAAAGTTTTATTTGAAATTTTTGTGCAAACATTATTATTTATATGCACTTTTATAGCCATTTTCCACTAAAACATCTTAAACGGTTTAGGAAGTAGGGCCTGACTAATTCGTTTGGGATACCCTGTATTATAAAAGTTATATCAATTGAGGTAATTCAACATAAATGTTGAATACTATGTATAATATTAAACGATGATAAAACAAATGCTTTAAAAATATTATTATTTGGATAAATTTTGATACTTAATTAAAATATCTAGATTCTAGGTAGGTATCCAATGTTTAATAAATACATTAATTATTATTTTTAGCAATTTACTCATAAGGATTTTGAAGATAAATTTCCTGTTCAAGAGAGACGGTTCATTAATTTTCTCTACGAAATACATCAAGCCATAAACACAGGTCCATCAGAAAAAGATGTATTGGAACAGACATTTTCAGTGGAGTATTTGGCAAGAGGAATGGGCCTTTGTGCTGGAGAAAGGCATCGCAAAGTGACATTCTACATTTATCCGCATAAGAAAACGAGAACCATAAACACAATTTGTATAACAATCCGTGGACCTTTCAGCACGTTTGGGAAAAGAACGTTTAACTACCCAAACGTGCAAAATTTTTCACAGTCAAACAACAAAACCAATGCTCAAGAAAACAATTCTTCGATATTTGCATCTTTTGCTCTAGATTTAACATTATTTTTAGGAAAAGATAAACACAGAGACATTGATGATATTCCAGTGGAAATAGAAATTGAAAAGGAACGTATTAGAGTGACATACATACCAAAAAATTATGGCATGTACGAAATAAAACTTTTGTCCGATAACGAAATTATATCAGGCAGTCCGTACAACATACACATCATAGATAATACTACAAATAAAATTGATACTTTTGATAATAAACCCACAAAAATTAACAAACCTGTGCATATTATAAAGGATACTAGAACCACTATTAAAGGGTCAAATTTTACAACAAACAAAAACCCTGATTTACCAATAATAACAATAAAAGATATAGAAAAAATTATAGAAGAAAAAGCAATTACGGATGATATCGTAGACTTAAATAATTCTAAGAACTATCATAATCAAATAAAAAATAATAATAAATTAAGGAATGTAAATGAAGACAAATGCATAAAATCTTTTGTAGATAAATTTCAAGCTTCACCAAATTGTAGTGTACCTATTCTTGGAGAAATTACCAATGTAAATAAATCTGAGAAAAAGGCAGAACCAATTTTTAAAATAGTTACTTCCCCAATATGTCCTAACCATATTGTTCCAGAAGTAGTAGAAAAAAATCTAAATGATAAAAGAAAATCACTTCAGAAACAAAGTATAGTAGAAACAATTGAAGACGTAGTAAATTCCTCCTTTTCCGATAGTGAAAACGAAGATAATTTAATGTCTTCAGGTGATTTCTCTAAAAGTCTTCCGAATCTTTCAGAATCTTGTCAGGAAAGTAAGAGTATTTTTTTAAAGAATAAGGCATTCTGGGAAACTGTGTCTAAATCATCCTTAAATACCACTATGCCAAAAAGTACTCCAGTGCCTGTAATTAAGAAAAACATATTTTCTTCGTTAGATAATGTTTCTATTTATCAAGTTCCTCATAAAGAAATTAAAACCTATAAATCTATAGATAATTCGCTGGATTATTGTACAATATTTACCATAAAGCAAAGAAAGCAGTTTTTAATGAAAACAGAATGTGAAACGGACAATGCCAAGATGAATAACATATCAAACTGTATGAAATTTACCAACTTTGAAAATGATGATAGTAAATGTAAACCACAAGGAAACAGTAGGTAAATTTTATACTAATTTTTTTATTATAAACTGTATTTTTTAAACTTTAAATATAATAATGTAAGATACATTTTTTTCTGTTCGGTACTTTTAGAGTATTGCAATAAAAACAGCCTTTATTACTGCCTTTGCATAAATGTATATTAATAATATTAACCGTTCAATAAAAAATAGCATTATTGGTAAAATAGTTTCGGGTGCAATAAAATACAGATTCAGTATAAAATGCATTTCACTAAATGCCTTGCTGTACGTTATTTACACTATGGCCAATATTTATTGAAATCTAATATTGGAAATAAGTAAAAAAGGCAACCAGAATTAAAATTTACTTTTCAGGAAGCTACAGGGCCAAATTTAGTCTACTGAACCAAATTTAGTCTTTTGGCTTTCTTTGCTGCAAATTAATGATCTGAGCCTGGCATGGCCCGTATAATTTCTAAAGTACGTTCTGAAATTTAATTGTCTAACATTTTGGATGAACAACCTCAGGCCGCCCCACCCTTATTGCAATGAAATGAGTTTCTTTTTAAATTTAATTCTGCCGTAATAAAGTCAGTGAAGATATACCTATCATTTTAAAAACATTTTCCCATAATTTTTATGTAGTACTAGTTTTTGTTAATTTAAAAACATATATTTTGCTAAAAAGGTTCGTTTGTTACCTTTAGAAGATTACCGGAAAGGTAAATGTAGTTATTAATTTACCATTTGTTGGGATTTATTAAGCTTTTTGCGTTAAAACTTTTTTAATTGAATAAAATACTGTTATTATGAGCCGAATTATTTTATAAATTCTTATTCTTTGTTCAAAATGTATACACAAGGGGTTCCAAATAATATAATAAAATCAGTGGCAGATCCAAAAAATAATTCGAGGAGGGGGGTTCAAATGTTATTTTGTTATAAATGAATACAAATTTCAATACTTCCACACACTTTTTTATGTAAATAAACAATAAATTGAATTGCAATGTGGTTGTATTTATTTTGTCGTGGTCGCCGAAAAAATAGCGTTTTTAACCCCCTGGAAAGTGTTGCACAACCTGTCCTACTCTCCCAGAATTCCGCACTATATTATCTCGTTGAAAAATATACCTACTATTATTCTCTTATTTGTAAAATTATATTTTGTTGTACTTTTTAGATTGCTCTGATAAGGTGGAGAAGGAAAGTATATCCACCAACAAACTGTATAAAGAAAACTTTATCCGCAACGATTTCAGAAATGCAGACGAGTCTTCATTGTTAAAATCTCATTTTTCAAATTCGGTAAAGTACTTTAAACAGCTGGAACGAACGTTAAAACCAAAAAAAAAAATAATATATACCAAAAATTAAAGTAAAAAAATGTATGTGAGTGGCAAAACTATACAAAGTTTAAAGTATTTGTTATATTAATTTGTAAATAAAATAAACCATATTTATTGTAAATGCCTTTTATTTTATTATCATTTGGTAGGGAGGCAGGGCGTAACTTTTTGCTAAAGAGTAAATGTTTGATAAAGTCTATTTATAAAAAGGAAGTCTGTCTAGATAATTTGTTATCAAATACGAAAAAGAAATCATTTTAAAGTCTCTACCAGTGGGTGAACATTACTTATGTTGTGGTAAGTACAGTACAAAATTTTAAATTAATGGTAATTTAATATAAAATAATATACAGTCGTATGCAAATAAAAAGCGTACAGCCTTAGAATGAGAGGTACTGCACTTGTCAAATATGGCGAGTTGGGTTATAAAAAATACAGTATACAGTTGGGTTATAAAAAATACAGTGCCGGCAGTTAACTGAGGGCTGGTTTACATCTACGGCACTGTATTGTTTATAACCTAACTCGCCATATTTGACAAATGCAGTAGCTCTCATTCTAAGGTTGTACGCTTTTTATTTGCATACGACTGTACCTACGTAAAATAAAAAAATTACAGATGAAGTGTGTTAAAATTTTTAAAAACTTCATTAAGCTTAAATTAAATTAAATTCCTCTAAAATTGTTAATGTGATTTTATTATTTGTTTCTTATAACATCTTTATTTGGACTTAATATAATAATAATAATAACTTGGTTATTATATCAATTTACGTTCAGTGAATTTAATGCTGTCAGTAATTCCAGGTTTTCGTATTTGGCGACGAAGTTGTTTTTTGTATGATATTTTTAATAGTACCATTAGTAGTAGGCTACTACTGCTATAGCAACAACAAAAATATATTGTTTTGTTAAAGAAAATTGTAAACAGACTGTTTGTATTAGGTAATAAACAATGTTATAGTTATTACTTATTTATTGTTAATTGAGTTTCTATTAGAAAATATAACTTATTTCGTGTGTGCTTATTACTAATATTGCAGAATTTAAAATCACATTAGGAATGTAAATTAAATTTTTTTTTCAAGCGGCCATGATATACAACCTTATATGCCTGTATAGAGATAGTTGAAGTGCGTCTTTTTCATTTGCGGCAGACAAAAAACTCAAAAAAGCCTAGGGATAGAAGTAAATCCATAGGTGTCCCAATAGACGTCAAATAATAAAATTAATTTAGCATTTCATACAAAGCAATCACGATGTATTAATTATATTAATTATAATCGCACGGAATATTTAGGGATTATTTATTAAATTTTAATTGAACGAAATAAAGAACAACTAGTTTATTAGTATAATATTATGATGATAGACGAGTCGCCAATGTCGGAACTCCAAACAAATGTCAGTACGTCAAAATTAATTCAAGCGCAGCATTTTGACAGAGCAGGGTTTATTTTTAGTTTAGGCTTTGTTATCTATGGTTTAGGATATTTATCGGCATTGTAAGTAAGGGTTATAAGTTTTTTTAGTTTTTATCAATATTTCAATCAATCAATTTCTAATGCTTTTAGCCAAAATTTTATACCACATGAGTTATGAGTAGATAAAATAATTCTATTTCTTATCCTATTTATATTACGCCCTTGAAAAAAAAATTGTATATGTTATTTGGAGTAGCAGCTCTTTTTGTGCTTCGTACAGTTGCCAGCCTCAGCTACGCTTCGGCCGTCAATCTCTGCACTCACCACAAAAAGAGTCACTTCTACTCCTTATGACATAATCTACTATTTTTACCATTCTTTTAAAGCTTAAAGCTTAAACCAATATTCAATATTAATTAGAGAGTATGAATATTGACTTCAAGCATGGATAAATTTTAAGTAATGAAACAAATTTACATATTTTTTGTAGACTTTATAGCCAAACAAAAGATATCTTGTTATATTTTTTAATGTTTGTTTTGCTGAGGTATAATTGCAATGTCCTTTGCTAGTTACTATCATATTTTTTTATTTCGCCTTAATTTGGAAAATTTTAACAACTTTATTACAATAAGGAATAATTTTTTCGTTTTATCTTCTAAATTATGGCGGAATCAAAAAATAAAAATGAAATAAATTGAACAGCATACAAAACTGTGTAAAACCTAAAAAATATTTATTAATTTAAACCAAATATTAACCAGATTTTATGTTAATCCAGGTCCACATAACTTTATGTTAAGTTTACAAACAACTGTAATCTGTTAACTATTTGAATAAGTACAAAATGCTATGTCAATAATTCGAGAATAATTCTTGTATTTCTCAAAAAGGACCTTATTTTTACAGACCTTTTTGTAGACCAAGTAATTAAAATATTTGTTGGAAATTAGGAACTCAAATGAAAATAATATTGATAAGAAATGTTGCATTATTATCAATTTCCTAAACAAAAAAAATAACCCATACCTACATCAATGAACACAAAAATAACATACACACAATTAAATAACACACCATTCTGAAATCATCAAATTATAAAAAAATTTGCTAAAATATAATTTCAGTACTACTACAACACTAAGTAGGTTTATTAATGTCCAGTTAAAGTTGCAGTTAGTTATCTGGCAGATAATCTCCATAGATACCATTTTTCTCACAACGATCGATATGGAATTTAACTGTCGGATGGACTTACTGGAACTTAACCAGAGAATGATAAACCGGCCCTTACTGATGTATTTTGTAACTTTAACTTTACTGTATCCCCTAATTTCAGTTTGAAAACCAGTCATGGCATCTTCGGATACTTCGCACACTTGTTAAATAGTTATAAGGAATCCAAATTCTAATAATAACTGATTTTTGGTCATATATCATAAACACTCTGGACAGTAACTGTTGTTACGAACACGTACGTTACGAATTAGGATAAAGTAAGCAGAAACATAAGTTGCAGACGCTGAAGTCTGTTGAACTTGTTGATGCGCATTGTTCTGCTGAATCTGAATGTATGACTATAAAAAAGTCAGTGGGAAATGTTTTGATTGGCTGCCTAAAATCACGTGTACTTTTTTAACGAAATAATTTGTTAAACATTGACAATAGTATATTACACTACAAGGGCAGAAAGTGTGAGATTCCTGCACTGCGCGCCATGATGCCCGAGGCGAAGCCGAGGGCATCATGGCGCGCAGTTCAGGGCTCTCACACTTTCTGCCCGTGTAGTGTATACTATTTTTCTTGCTACCCGGCCGAAAATACGGGAAAAAATTAAATGTGTATATCGAAACATATTGATGCCTGCCCCTACATTTGCGGCACGAGCGATATTATAGAGGGCGGTGGAGGTGGAATCGGGGACGAAACAACGTATTTTCAGCCGAGGTAGTAAGAAAAATAATTTGTAACCTTTAAAACTAACAAAATGCTTACAAAATTGTATATTACCTTTACAAAACTTTTGGTAAAATATTTTTCTTTGTTAAAATAATTGCAAACCCTGGTTATCTACAAAAAAATGTGTTAAAATTTTACAAAATAAAATTAACAAACTACAAACTCAAGTTAAAAACTTTGATTTTTATAACAGTGCATTTATAAAATCATTTTAAATTTAAATTAATTTTTTTTTGTTATTACAATTTTGGTATTTTCAAAAAATAATAACAGGTGATTCGCCTCAATTTGCATTTGTGTAAAAATCATATCGTGGACCATTAGTAAATTAAATATTTTATAAAATTCTTAACTTAAAATTAAAAAAAACTTGGAAATTGCGATAAAAAAAGGTGTGCAAACACATTTATTAAAAAAGGTTGATCTATATAATGGAAAGTACCTATGTCTGCCCTTGTGGAAATTTTTCTCTGAAAAAGTTTTAATAAGTAAAAGTTAGAGTTTTGAAAGTCTTACTTTCTCTTTAAAACTCTGAGTAAGTCGGAAAAATTCAGAATAAGACTTATTAAGTCGGAAAAATTCTGAATAAGTCTTAGTAAGTCTAATAAGTAAGCCTTAGTACTAAAATCTTGCTATTAGTCTTACTTAAGACTAATAGCAAGATTTTCAGTGGGTTCAAGCTTTGAAGGCAGAGGATTTTCCACGCAGAGTCAATTTTTGTACCTGGCTTTTAGAGCAAATTAGAAACAATAACAACTTTTTAAGATGGATTTTGGTGACGGATGAAGCCATGTTTACCCGCAATGGAATAAATAATTTTCGCAATACTCATGTTTGGGCTGTAGACCATCCTAAAGCTGTACGAAGAACAAATTTTCAAGATTGTTTTTCCGTTAATGTGTGGGCAGGCATCATAAATGGCATTTTAATTGGACCATTTATTTTACCAAATCGTTTAAACGGCAATGATTACTTCAATTTTTTGCAAAATATTCTATTGCACGATGGGGCGCCGCACTGTGTCGTATTTGACCTGTATAGGTGACCAAAAGTCGATTCCTTACAGCAAAAAAATATACATAAAATTTCTTGACAATGTACAACCATTTGTTTATTTATAAAATATCAATAAGGACCGTGACGTATAAAATTTTAAAACAATGCACAAACACATTTTTTTATATAAATAACTCGCGCTTGGTAAATATGCGATTAAAACTATAAATTATAATTAACAGGAGTTATATTTGGTAGATTGCTTTAAAATAAATGTCTTTTAAGGTTTAACGTTAAAAATTAAAAAAATATTTTATTTTATATACAGGGTGTTTCATAATATATGCGCAGGACTTCAGGATGTGATAGCTCAACCAAAAAGATGAAAAAAGTCGCTATTAACTTACCCTCTAAAATGCACAATTTTCGAGATACAGGGTGTTGAAATTTTAGAAAAAAAATCGTTTTTTTCGATTATCTCTGGAACCGTTTATCGTACAAAAAACAGCTTTTGTAAGCATTTTCTACTCATAATAAGCTATGTTTTGTGCCAGAAAATTTTTTTTTTTTACTCATAATTGGTGGAGATTTTGAAGGGGTAGCGGGTGTTTTTCTCCTCAACTTCTACGCCCCTGAAAAAAGTACGGTTTCGAGAGGCCCATTCGAACCGCCAATGTTTTCTACACAAAAAAGGTACTCTTGGTCATAAGCTCTAAAGTT